GTGTTTGCAAAGCGAAATAGTAGTTTTGTTTAGTCTTGGAAGTGATATAGGCATTTCTTTGTTAAGTCAGATATCTATATTTTACCCGCCTAATTGTTATGTATCGTAGTTAACCCCTTTGAGCCTGTAATCCTATTTCTTTGGCAACCACATTACAAGCCTTACTCATTTGTTTGAATTAACCATCTTTTGAACCTTTTCACCTCTCATGAGCACTTGAATTGTTATGAACTTTATAAAAGTTAAAGTGTGGGGTGGTTGGTTTGGCTTTTGAGTGGAACTAATGAAATAAGGAGAAAGGTGCACTATTTCTAAAAAAAAATGTAAGAGCCACTTGAATTGAAAAGGAAAGAAAAGAAAAAAAAAGAGTTGTATTGTTGTGAAGAATATTTCTTGTGGCGGTGACTTTTGATGTAATTGTGCTTAAAGAAGTATGGAGTTAATATACATTGATATGAAGGTGGAGTTTTGGTTTGACATAAGTGGGGTTTTAAATATTAAAGTGTATGTATTAAAGTGCTTGGGGAGGTGTAGTCACTCTTATATCTAAATGTATCTTACCCGTCCCTCAGCCTACATTACAACCAAATAAAGTCCTAATTGATCCAAGATTGAATGAGCTCGATTAGTGGAGTAGTACACTACGGGCAAGCTTATGGTGCATCTTTTGTGGCTTATGAATGTTATTTCTGAGAGTGAGTGAATTCTTTCTATCTTGAGTTCCTAAGTGTTCTTAAATTTTATTGTGTGGAACTACTCACTTTTGTTGTGTGAGGGCACTTGATTCATGAAGGAAAGGTAATGTCAGTGACCTCTATATTAGAGTAAGTAGGTGAATTGTGAATAATGCGCGGTACTTGGGAGTCAAATCTTGAGGTGAAGATGTTACACTTTTGTGCTTAGTCTATTTTAAATACTCTTGGTGCGATGAGTTAGGAGAATTGTTTAAAAAAGTTGTGTCTATAAAAAAAAAGTATAGGTTGATTGCTCGAGGACGAACAATGGTTTAAGTGTGAGGTGTTGATGATAGGCAATAATTACGTATTTTAGTCGATTATTACACTCTAATTTATTGCACTTTAGTTGAGTTTGCGCTTTAATCGCTAGTATTTTGCACTAATTGTATGTTTTATGCCTTGTAGGTGTGATTCCGAGCTATATAGATGTTATGGAATACATTTAAGTGGTTTTGAGCGTTGAAGTCTGAGTAAGAGCTCAAGGAATTAAGCCGGGATCGCGTTCGGAGATCAACGGATGATTAAACAACAAAACGAAAACTCGAAGAGGCATATTGCGCACTGTCTAGAAAAATAGACATAACTTTTTACGCAAAACCCTATTTGGGCTCCATAATATATTGTTGGAAAGCTAACTCAAGGGCTACAACTTTCATGTTTTACGTTTTTCCATATTCCAAACGGAACAGGATGTAATACCGCGGTTTTATCGCTACTGCGGCAGAACCGCGGTGAGGGCTGCTCGCAAACAATTGAAGCAGCAGAGGCCATGTTTGACCGCAGTTTGACCGCGACCGCGGTAGAACCGCGGAAGGAGGCGGAAATTTCAGGGACTAAAGTGCAAAACACGGGATTTTAAGCCCTAAACCCTATATTAAACCAAGGAAGTCGGCCAAGAAAGGTATTAGACATATTTTTGACATAGATTTGACCTAAGGAGGCAAAGACACAATAGGAGCAAGGCTTGGGAATTCTTCTACAAGTTTTCCCTTCCTCTTCCTATTTTTCATTGTTGGTTATGACTTTTAGTATCGTAGTTTTACATACTATTATGAATAGCTAATTTGTTATCTAGAGTTTTGATAGAACCTTTTGTAGGATAAATTCTTGTTATGCTTTTATATAATTGAGCCGTAGTATAATCTCTATTAGTTCAACTACGTTCTTATTGTAGTTAATTGAAGAGCTCTCAATTAGCTGTGCCTATTTAGTGTACATAACTCGGGAGAGAGTGCATATTTAGGTTATTGTTGAACAACACCACTCCCAGAGTATATGANCGTGATCAGCATCTGAAATCCAAATTTTCAGTTCAGACTTATTGGCCTTAAGTGAATGAAAACGTTTGTTGCACTTTAGACTTTTTGGCCTTAAGTGCATCTGAAGTGTAATTTTTTACTTCAGACTATTGGCCTTAAGCGCATCTGAAGTGCAGCCTTAAGCGCGTGAAACCATTGGTTGCACTTCAGACCTATTTGGCCTTAAGTGCATTTGAAGTGTAATTTTTTTACTTCAGACTAATTATCGGGTATGAAGTTAATCGTAAAGTGGATATGCTTGCAAAGTTTTTTACAAAATAGGTATAGATTCAATTGTAACCCAAAACTGGGTATAGATGCAAAAACCCCAAAACTTAGGGGTTGGGCCGTCCAGACAACAAAACCAAAGTCTCAACTACGGTTTTGGCCCAACCCAGTATGCAACTCCACGGGCAGCAACTGTTATTACCTATTCATGCCGTGAAATGTCAGTTGACACCGGCAGAGAACGCCTAAGGAACACTGTCGTCTCCGATGTTCAGAACAATTTATCACTTGCGATCTTCCTCAACCCCCAAATTTTCCCTTCCTCAAGCCCTACGCCTCTTCTCTCATTTCTCCATCTCTCTACCAGCTCAATCAATCCACTTGACCGTTAACCCATCACCACCGTTTACTGAAAAGTCTTCATTCCATTCTATGTCATCGATTAGTAGCTCGCTGCTTCTACAGAAGCATCAAGATGGGTCAGGAGATGAGTTCAATACGGACCCAAAGAGTCCTCCAAAGCTATTTGTTGTTCAGCCTCGGCTTCGGCCTGATTCTATTCTCAAGCCTAAGCTTGAGGAGGCACTGAACTTAGCAAATTCCCTTGAGGAGCAAAGAGATGGGTTCTATGATACTGAGTTCCTTGATAAACAACTGCCCCCTCATCTTGTCGTCCAAAACCCTGCTGCTCGGTCAACTCGCGCTGGTGCGTTTTTCATACCTTTTTCTCCTGTTTTGTTTAGTAGGAGTAACACTTTTCGTTTTAGTTGATACCCCGCTGTAATGCAACAACAACAACTATTACTACTACTACGCAATTCCAAACTTGTTGGGATCAATTGTATGAAACCGAGGAGTATATGCATTAAAATCTGTAGGAAATAGGAAGCTTAATATGTGGGGAGTTTTGCGAGAGTTAGCTCAACTGTAGCATGTAACACCGAGAACCTGGATCTGCATGGTTAACTCATTTCTCAATTTGGAAACATTTTAGAAATGAGCTTAATATGCTTGCGTTGCCTAAGAATATGCTTGATCTGAGGGAATAAAGGGCTCCATTTGTTCTAGTTTACGTGATTTTATTTCCTTTTTGGTCCGTCCCAAAAAGAAGGACTCATTTGTAAAAAAAATTAACGTAAACTTCTCATTTTGCCCTTAATAACAATCTTTTTAGCCACACAAATGTTATGGCATTATCGAGACCACAAGTTTCAAAAGTTATATCGCCACACAAATTGTAGCATGTTTAAGATCATAAGTTTCAAAAGTGTTTCTTTGTTAAACTCCATGCCAAGTCAAACAGGATCAAATAAAATGAAACGGAGGGAGTATATTAGAAGAAGAATAAAATACTCAAAGTAAGTATTGGTTATAGTTGTGTCTAGTATATGTTTGTCCTATAGTAACTCAGGCCGTCACCTATGCTCTGAAATTATTCCTTTCATAAGAGCCCAATTGTTGTTCGAGGTGGAGAGTTGGAGTCTTCCTGAAGTTATCAGTAGAAAGTATAGCTAGCTATTGCTCTGAAATTATTCCTTTCATTAGAGCCCAATTGTTGTTCGAGGTGGAGAGTTGGAGTCTTCCTGAAGTTATCAGTAGAAAGTATAGCTAGCTATTGCTCTGAAATTATTCCTTTCATTAGAGCCCAATTGTTGTTCGAGGTGGAGAGTTGGAGTCTTCCTGAAGTTATCAGTAGAAAGTATAGCTAGCTATTGCTAATTATTTTATCCATCGCTTAATTTTGAAATGATTTGTCCATTGTGCTTGCTATGATATGACAGATACGTTTTTCGGACCCGGAACTGTGGATAATGTTAAATGCCATGTAAATGCTCTGGAAAGTAAGGTAGAGGGTTTAATATCTGGATGCAATTTAATAAATTCAGTAATCTCTCCCTGTATTATGGAACTGTTAGCGGCTGATTAGGTTGATATCGGTCCCCACCATTTTGTTGGCAGGAAGGGATAGATGCCATTTTTGTAAATGCAATTCTCACTGGCATACAGCAGCGTAATTTAGAGGTGAGTCGTTGTATTTGTTGGTCTATCCATTTTCTGGTGAAAAAATAAACTAATTGAGCCATTGGAAAAGTTGCTAACTTGCTGTACTTGTTAGTATATTTACTATCTGAGGACAAACATGTTTCTCATAGCCACAATTATCCATTGGCAAAGGGCTTACTGTATTTCCCTTTTTCCTTTTCTGTTTATGTTTTGTCCTTTCACTGGCAGCGGGCATGGGGTAAACCTGTTCTGGACCGCGTGGGCCTCATAATAGAGATTTTCAATGCGCATGCTCAGACAAAGGAAGCAAAACTACAGGTGAACAGCTCTCTGCTATGGCGTTTCATGTATCCTCATATGATAGTTTCTGTATCTATAGAAGAGGGAATACTTAGTTCTCCGCATCTGACTTTCCATTAACTTACAGGCTGAGTTGGCTACACTTATGTACAAGAAAAGCCGTCTTGTTCGTTTACGTGGTCCTGGTGGACGTTATGCTTTTGGTGTAGCTGGAGAAGCTGAAGTAGTTAGTGCCAGAGGGTAACTTTATTGCTTGTTGACTTAATCTCTATTCAAGGATGCTTTTGGAAATTCAATGAAGTGCTTTCTGTTCACATTTATCCACTTGTCAATAATATTTTTTCTGTAATTAAGATGACTGCTAAAGTTTGGGAAATTCCAGTGGCTGCTCCAGGAGTATCTGAAGTATGCCATTTTCACTTGCAGGAGAGGAAGTGGGGGACGTGGTTTCATTAGTGGTGCTGGAGAGACAGAATTGCAGCTTCAACGGCGAAGGTTTGTCGCTGATTCTGACTGAGAAGATGTATTATTTTGTTAATTCTAAATTTTGTGTGGACAGGTAAAGCTGGAAAGGTTTTAGTCTATCCGTAGAAAATGCAGAGAACCTCTAATGTTATTGGACTGAAGCGGGTCTAAATCGAGTGAAATGGATATTGGGATTCATTAGCCCAACTAGCTTGGCATTGAGCCTTGGTTCTTATTATTGTTTTAGACAAAGCTGGAAGGCAACCTTTCTGTTAAGTTAGCTAATAGCAATATATCGAATGTCAATGTTATGCGTACACAACTCTATTTAGGAGTCAACCTGTGCAAAGTATCTCTGTTAACTGTTAAAAAGGTTATTTGAGAGTCAAATGAATATGAGCCTGACTTACTTTATTAGAGACTTCGATGCAAAATGAAGCTGAATGGATGAATGAACCTCAAGCAAGGAATAGGATTAGTTGCATTTTGTCTTCTGTCCAAAGGACAGTGATTTAGTGTGTATAGCAAGCTACTGCTCCTTTCAGTGGCTATAAACTTATCGTATTCTTACTGATCACGTGTGTATTTTATGGAACTACTTGTCAGAAGAAAAATGAAAATGATTAGTAACTAGAGAAATAGAATGTGATGATATATGATTATACCCTGAAATGTTTGTCAACAAAAATATGTATCGCTCCTTTTCTGATATTTTTTTTTAATTGTTGAATTGTTTTCAGACAATAGTAGAGGTATTCTAGTATATACTTTAAACATTCCCTGTGGTATTGTCACCACTTGCTTGATAATGATCCAATATCATTTTGCTCATGCACTTTATCAGTATGATATATTTCTACTCTAACTGCTTTGGGTTTCAGAATTTTAGAACGGAGGAATCAGTTGTTATCTGAAATTAAAGAGGTTCGTCGTACACGAGCGTTGCAACGCGCTGCTCGCAGAAGGCATGGAGGACCAGATGGTCAAGAAATTCCTACAGTTGCTGTTGTTGGTTACACAAATGCTGTAGGTTGATCAGAACTACATGAATCCCTTTAGTTTGATATTAATGCAATCTCTGTGTATTCATTGATTTGTTTCTTTAACAGGGGAAATCTACTTTAGTTAGTGCAGTCTCGGACAGTTATCTCTATTGCGATGATCGGTATGGTAAACGAGTTGCTAGTCTGTACTTTCATTCTGATGCTGGCTGTCTATTAAGCTTTTAACTTCTAACTTGCCGCCATGCCCTTCTATATCTTATACTGACAAGCTGAGTTATATGACACTATCTGACATATGGGCTCTTAATTTGCAGATTGTTTGTCACAGTGGACCCCAAGTTAAGAAGTGTCATTCTCCCATCGGGGTAATACAAAATTGTGTGAATTAGTAAGACCTTCCATCTAGTTTAGTGAAATTAGTGGACCTCCCTTTTAGTCTGAGAAATATCTATAGATTCTCCTCAACTTTAATATTTCGTTACACATACCTCTGCTGCCGTTATTTGTATTAAGCAATGGTGTCAATAAAAATTAAAGTTCTTGTTCCAATTTTGCCTTTCAATGGTAACATCTTATCTAAAATCTGTAGGAGAAACAAGAAAAAGAAATTTGAGAAATTTTATATGTTGTAACAACAACAACAACAACAACAACAAACCCAGTGTAATCCCACAAGTGAGGTCTTGAGAGGGTAGTGTGTACGCAGCCTTACCCCTGCCTTTTGAAGGTAGAGAGGCTTTGTGAAAGTAGAGAGGCTGTTCCCGATAGACCCTCGGCTCAGGGAAAATTTTTATATGTTGTAACTTATTACTAAATGCTGGACTTCAAGTTTAACGAGTTCACTCACTGTTTTCTCCATGCAGTTCACTTTTGTTATTTTCATATAACTTTTTGTTTGAGAAAAGTACTCGAAGCTTCTCTAAACAATCAATTTAAAAAATGAGGGTATATTGCTCAGAGTAATGGACTTCTACTGTTACACAGGGAGGTTCTATGATATTTCTCAAAGTGGAGTAGAGGTCCATTGAGATTTTCTGAAGTAGATGGGATGTCTAAGTAATTGATTTTACAAAATTTTAAAGTTGCAAAAGTGATTTATGCCTTTCCCAAGGCTGATGGCTCGGTCCTTTTTTGATCACGGAATTAAATACTTCATATGCAGAAGGAAAGTGCTGCTCAGTGATACTGTGGGATTCATATCGGATTTGCCAACACAGGTGAGTGGATAGTATTAGTACCCGCTCCTCCTCTTGTTATTGCATCAGACACTTGGAGACTGTTCTGTTTTTGCAGCTAGTAGAAGCCTTTCATGCAACATTGGAAGAAGTTGTTGAAGCTGACCTCCTTGTGGTATATCTTCTTTCCCTGATTACATTTTCAATGTTGTTAACATACTAAGTGCCGATGCTTATAGCTCCACACAACTGTGCAACTCAAAGTTGCCATTCCTTGAACTGAAGGAAAGTTGCTTGAATGTAGAAGCTTCTAATCTGACTGATTGCTTAATTCTTGCAGCATGTGCTGGACTCAAGTGCACCTGATCTAAAGGAGCAGCGGGAAGCAGTGTTGCAAGTTCTTGGGAAGATAGGAGTCTCTGAGCATAAGCTCCAGAATATGATTGAAGTTTGGAATAAGGTAGGGAAAATAGCTACCATTCCCTAAATTTAAAGACAGACAGTGATAATCGGATTCTAAAACATGGATCCAGATGCATTGCTTCAGTACTTTTTATTTATTTATGTAGATTGATCTTCACGAGGATTTCGTTGGAGATGGTTATTGCAACGAGGATGAAGTTTCTAGCTGGTCAGACGAAAACAATGATGTAACATCCAATAAATTGTGTGAAGAGGATCTCCCTGATTATGAGACTAATGAAAATGAGGACTTTGAGCAATCAGGCAAGCTTGAACAGGTCATAGATGATCAACAAGGTGACTACTCTGATGACTGGTTGGTCTCAGGCGATGAACAAGATTCCTGGGTTGACTACAAT